GTGTTTGCTATTGCGGTCACTTCATTAGTGACCTGAATTCAGCAGTCTAACATCTCAAAACTGTTGCAGAACACAAATATAGAAGGTTATGATGGTATGAACTAAACATGAACTAAACATGAACATGATGCTATTCATGATTGTAAATGTTTACAAAACAATTTTCAGAGACTTTAGGCTCCAGCAAAGCACAGTCAGACAGCGTATATGTACCACTTTACAATTAGGCTCCCATGCCACCATCATCCCAGTCCCAAAAAGCTCTACAGTGACTGGTCTGAATGACTATCGGCCAGTGGCCCTCACCCCGATAGTCGCTAAATGCTTCGAAAAACTGGTCATGACTCACATCAAAACAACCATCAACATCAACGAGGACCCTCATCAGTACGCATACCGTGAGAACCGATCAACAGAGGATGCAATCTCCTCTGTGGTCCACACTGCGCTCAACCACCTGGAGCAGAAAAACTCTTACGTCCGTATGCTCTTTGTGGACTTCACATCCGCCTTCAACACCATGATCCCCCAAACCCTGATGGACAAACTATCCACACTAGGACTAAGCCCCTCCATCTGCAACTGGGTACTAGACTTTTTAACAAACAGACCACAGTTAGTGAGGATCCACAACCTCTCCTCCTCCACCATAACCCTCAGCACTGGCTCTCCTCAGGGATGTGTGTTGAGCCCCCTCCTGTTTACTCTGCTCACATATGATTGTGCAGCTACCCATCCAGGCTGTCACATTGTAAAGTTTGCAGATGATACAGCGGTGGTGGGATGCATCACAAACAATGATGAGTCCAGCTACAGGCAGGAGGTGGAACACCTGGAGAGCTGGTGCAGAGAGAATAACCTTCACATCAATGTGAAGAAGACAAAGGAGATGATTGTGGACTTCAGAAGGAACAAAAACACCTACACCCCCCTGAACATAAGAGGATCTGTGGTGGAAGTGGTCTCCAGCTACAAGTACTTGGGTGTACACATGAATGACAACCTCAGCTGGAGCAACAACACCACCAGCCTGATCAAGAAAGCTCATCAGAGACTCTACTTCCTCAGACGGCTGAGGCGAGCTGGTCTGGGAAGCTCAGTCCTCACCTCCTTCTACAGATGTGCAGTGGAGAGCATCCTGTGCTCCAGCATCAACGTGTGGCATGGAGGCTGCACAGCTGCAGAAAGAAAAGCTTTGCAGAGAGTGGTGAAGGCTGCACAGAAATCTGTTGGAGTCAGTCTCCCCACCATCACAGACATCTACACCTCCAGATGCAGGAAGAGGGCCACCTGCATCATGAAGGACCCCACCCACCCAGCACACACACTTTTTGCCCCACTCCCCTCAGGAAGGAGGTTAAGGAGCATTAAGTGTAGAACCACTAGACTGAGGAACAGCTTCTACCCTGAGGCTGTTAGACTCATGAATCTCTAACTAGAATAATCACTGTGAAAAACCATATCATGTTGTTGCTGATCTGTTTCATGTTGCTGCTGATCTGTTTCAATGTTGATGTGTTCATGCGTGCACATCTGCTCACAGACTCATGTTCATGTTTGTGCTGATGTTCAATGTTTTATGTTATGAGTGCTTAGTGTATATTTAGTTGATGTTTTTCTTAGTTCATATCTTAGATGTTGTTACTGTTTTTCTTATACATTTTATTGTTGGATGTAACTGGGACCCTGTGTACATAATTTCGCTCCACCACATGTACCACATGAGGTGCGAATGACAATAAAGAAACTCTGACTCTGACTCTGACTCTGACTCTAATAAATAGTTTATAGATGCGTTATTATTTCCTCTATAAATACTTTATAAATCAAATAATTACTGCTTATTATGCATTAATTAAAGGTGACAGAGAGACAAAACTGACCAGTTTCTTGCCAAATAGTGAACCACATCTGTTCACCTATATATTTCATCTAGAGTTGTCATATTAAACATTTCAGACTAAGTTAATACCTTGTAAGCACAACAAGCATTTATAAACCTATTTTTTAGCATATAATACTGTACATTATCACTGCATTATAAGTATATACAACTAATATTATATCCTAAAAAAATTACATTTGCAAATGCTTATTGTGCTGCAAAGTCTGAAATTTTTAATATAACAACTATATGAAATATATAGGTGAACAGATGTGGCTCACTATTTGGCAAGAAACTGGTCAGTTTTGTCTCTCATCCTTAATGCATAATAAACAATTATTAATGATTTATAAAGAGTTTATAGAGGAATTACTAACATATCTATAAACTATTTATTAGCCATTTATAAGGGGAGCCATATTGTAAAGTGGTACTAATATATATATATATATATATATATATATATATATATATATACATACACACACACACACAATCGCTGTTATGTAAGAGTAATATGTGTAATAAATTTCAATGTCTCAAAGGAATCCAGGGTCATTTCTATGAGACTAAAAGTCTTTCTCACATCGACTAGTGTTATTGTTCGTGAGCCCACCATCAGGATAACACTGGTGACTAATAATGTGCATGGCAGCGCTGCAAAGAGAAGAATAAATGGAATGACTAAATCAATCTGACTTTAATTTTAAACAAAAGGTTGTGAAGGGAACTTAAAGGAACCATTTATGTGAGTAAATCTACCAATATGTCTACGCTGAAGCTGGTCTGAACAGAGGAATGGACCTCAGTTTATCTAAACTGATGTGCAGGACTGAGTTTAGTTGGTATGCAGGTGGGCGTAACACTTCACACATCAACATATATTGGGTTATTTTACAAATGACCAAATTCAATATTTTTGTCTCATTCGTTACACATCAAGTGCTTAACCTTCTTTTAAATAATTAATTAGCTTTTTGTTGAATTATTTTACCTTTTAATCTGAAAAATGTGCAGCTTTCTACATGAAACCAATAAAAATGGACATAAAGTTACTGCACTCCTTCAGATTTTGTATCTTTCATCAAATATAGAGAAGCATTTTAATGGAATACCCCCCATAAATCATTATAGTCATGATGGTTGGTGTCACAGATAAGGTATAATATATGTGATCATATTATGATGTTATATATTTCTATTGAGCTTGTCTTTTAGTAAATGTGAAATATATTTGAATCTACTGTATAGTGAGAGAAGTATGTTTTTTAAATCTCATTAAGTTTTGGACCTCTCATGCACAATTGTTCTGTGCAATCACTTTCAGCTATCTTTGTGCAAATTTTAAAAAGCTGGAAAAAGGGGAAGTAAAAAATAATTTTAATGGAAAAAAGGCCCATATTCCTTGTGCAACAATGCTATTAAAATATAATTTGCACTTCGCAGATCTATATTAATTTTATGCGCCACTCCTGGCTTTAGCATCATGGAGAATATTTCAATTTACAGTTTATGTGGCACTTTGTATAAACCGTTAACATAACCTCACAGGTTCTGTTCATTTTGAACCCCTCCACTTGACATGCAGGAGACATGGCATCACAACCAAAGAGCAGATGGCACAGCACCAGAAAGATTTCAGACAGACCAAAAAGGAAGAAGTGTGAAGGGGAACAACAAAGGTCCCGAGCTGGAACAAACCCATCTGCTCACAGATGGATGCAGAATTCTTTTGAGGCTGTTACAACAGTCTTGTTGCTATATTTGTCAACCCACTCCATTTTTATTTTATTATTTATTTATTTTTTTGCAGAAGGTGGGATGGAAGCTAATAGAAAAACGAGGAGAGAAGTGAATATATGAGGAGGTGTCTGCTCTCCAGCAGGAGACATGCTCCCAGGATGCATCTGGCCTTGTTACCATGCACACATAATCATCAGCTTTGATGTGTTTTATTACTCAGTCATTAATCACTGTAACCGTTTAGAGGAACTTGTTTTGTTAGGAGTCCCAGAACACTATTGCTACATTATTATGATCTCAACAGAGAACCTATTTGTAGAGAAGAAGAAAAGGCTCAGTCTGCTACTTGTTTATTTCTCTTTTTATTACAACCAAAACTTTTTAGGGATAGTTTTTTTAGTGTATGGCTCTTGTAAAAGATCATAAACAAAATGTTTGCCAACTGAACATTTACCTTTTTACCTAGGGTGCTCGGTTCTGTTGACAAGGTGGGGTGCCCTGCTTGTATAATGGTAGGGGGAATTGGATAAGCAAATCGATCCAAGTATTATTAACAACGATACCAACCTCATGCAGTTTAAATCTTGGACCTCCTCATGTTTTCAGCTACAGAACAAAAGTCCAGTTGCTTCATCTTGTTCTTTTAATTTCCCATATCCTGGATGACTGAGAATCTACAGCAACAAATACTAATGTTAGTCAGACCGTATTGGTGCTAACGCGATGGGATCGATACTTGAGTTTGAGTTTACCTTCAGTACGTCATTCTCACTTCAAAAATACAATCATGCACCAGAGGAGCCATCAAGAGGCAAGAATAAATGTAGCCACTGGCCCAGAATTGCACATGCCAACATGTGTAGCATCCATATTTTCTTCTTTATACATAGCACGCTGCGTGCAACATCACAGTTTCTTCTGCGCATGCGGGTCACCTCAGAGCTGTAAACCATTCACGCTGGAGTCTGATGGAGGTTGTATGTCAATAATAATGTGAATGACCACACAAAAACATTAGATCTGAGCAAAACAATCTGAATTGAGCTTTAAGACCTGTAGTCTGAATGTAACTTAGGTAGCTGGGTTTTTATAGGAAATACATTTTGGTAGATTTCTTGGAATATACACATTTTTAACTTTTAGGAACGTCCGTTAGCGGAATGCAAGTCAACAGATCAAAGTTTCCTTTGTGGAAAAAAAAAAAACAACGCAGTTTTAGCATGAGCCCAGGACTCATAAATGTAGTAAGGATACAATGCTGCTTTTGCTACCAAGAGATAGTTACCACTTCTTTTTCCGATTGATGTATAGATACCGCTGAATGTAAAGCCAATCATTTCTCTTTCTTTCTTTCTTTCTTTCCCCTCTGTAGTCTCTCATATTTCTGGGATGTGTGGCAGCTGCGGGCCTCGGCCTCAACCTTCTGTGTTTGGCCATCTACCTGAGCTGTTTGTGCTGCTGCAGCAAAGACGAAGACGAGGAAAGCAAGAAGCCCAACTCCTGCTGTGTCACCTGGTCGGCTGTCGCTGCTGGTCTTATCACATGGTGAGGGAAATATGACACAGACGAGCCATGACTAACTAACTGTTCATCATGCATGTGTGTTCAAAACTAATGTCTGCCACTCATTTCTGTTAGTGATCTTTCTGAATTCTCATGGAGAAGTAAAGAGCATGATGTTATCACCACGGTACCCTCTCTGTTTCTTTGAGATTTAATGTATATATTTGGTGCATGGTACAACCAGAAAATGGTGGAGTGCTTCTTTTGAGCTGGTTGGAAATCTCTGCCTCAAGCGGAGGAATTCAGTTATCTGGGAGTTTTGTTCACCAGTGATGGTAGGATGAAGCAGGAGGTTGGCAAACGAATCAGGGATTTGTCTGCAACAATGAAGGCATTGCTTTGGTTAGTTGTGATGACAGAGCTGAGACGAAAGGAAAAGCTCTTGATTTAACTACATTCCTGCCCCAAGTTATAGACCTGAAATATGGATGACTAAAAGAACAAGGTCCCAGCTGAAATGAGCTTCTCTGTGCTGTAAGGTGGTAAGGATGCTCCCTGGGTGCCTCTCTAGGGAGGTGCTTTGGGTATGTCCGACTGGAAGGAGACCTCGGGGAAGACCTAGGATACGCTGGAGAAGCTATATCTCTCAGTTGGCCTGGAAATGCCTTGGGGTCCCCCCAGAAGAGCTAGAAGAGGTGACTGTGGAAAGAGATATTTGGGCCTCCCTGCTCAAGCTGCTACCCCTGCGACCAGACTTCAGAATAAGCGGAAGGTAATGAATGGATAGATGGACGGATGACTGTTTCATTTTCCGTCCGCAAAGTTTTCTCAATTAAATACTGGAGATTGTGGAGCTTTTAACTCTAAACCTTTGTGGGTTTGCCATGTTTTAGATGATTAAAAATCTCCACCAGAATTTAACCCTGAACAGTGATAGTAGTTAGCAAACTTTTCTGTTTGTTCTTGATGGTCTGCAGCTAGACTTTTTAAACTCAGTAATATGGATAAACCTAACACTAAAGTGTTTAAATAAACATAAACCATCCAGACAGAGGTTCACCAAAGCACATTTTCTTTGCAACCTTTCCTTTCTTTTGGTGTGTCTCTGGGGGAACAGTTGTGTTTTTGTTAGTCCACCTGTGTTATGAAATATCTAAAGGTTTTGCATGAGCTGCAAATACTTATGATTTAATTTCATATTACCATAGTCAGGAGTTTTCTGTTCCTTTGATGAATTCACTCTCTCATGTTTCTTGGAGAATCTGTTTGAACCGTAGGAAACTGACGTAGTTAGCATTTCACTGATAACCTATACTCTTTGAAGATCTCTGTGGGTCTCCTGGTTTCAGACTCATCATACAGAAGAAAGAATGAAAGACTGGGCATTAATTGCTGTTACTGCTTAACAACCTTTGATATTATGAGGCTCGGCCATCTTTCATTTAGCACTGTTCTAACTCAAGCTTGATCCTGTTGTATTTGTGGAAGCCATTGATGGAGTGAGTGTGTCATTAACGCATAAATGTGAATGTGTGGTCACACATTTAGGCCAGCTGGAGGACAGACACCTATTTTCTACAAGTAGATAAAAAGAAAAATTCTGCAGTGATTTAAAAGCTAAATTTGGTCATTTGCTGAGCGTTTATAAAAGAAGTGATTGTAGATAAGAATTTTACAATTTGTTTCATAACAGAACATGAAAGAGATAAAGTTTGTGATGCTTATTACTCCAAATCAAAGGTGTCGTTGCAAATTATGCTGTTTATCCATTGCGCAGTGTTGCTATGTCTTAATTTGACCCATATCAGTTCTACATGGACTGTACTTGTATAGCAACTTTCTACTGTATTTTATCAAGATACTCAAAGCTCTTTACACAACAGTCTGTGTCCTCATTTACCCATTCTTACAGCACTCTACTAGATCTATACAAAGAATAATCAGTGCTTTATCACATTCATACACCGATGGGACACACATCGGAGGCAATGAGGGGTTCAATGTCTTGCACAGGGACACTTCGGCATGTGACTGCTGATGGAATCAAACCCCCAACTTTTGCATTGGAGGACGACTGCTCTAGCCACTCAGCCACAGCCGCCCCACATGGTCACATTTCCACATAGCCAAGTGATGCCTCGGTGTGGGCACATTGCCATAGAGCAGGTAGGCATAGGTGCCACAATTTCCAAAATTGCCATGGTGGAGTCGAGGCCACCCTCCCTCCGCCTGTAAGTTGATTTTGTTTGGTTTGGCTCTCCCTCAATTTCATTGTCTGCCAACAATCACCATCTGGACCTCCTCGTTGCGTCACTGTATTGGGTTATGTGTTGTCATTTTAATGGATATTTTATATGAATTTTTTTTAAATTAGATAACAAAAATTAATATGGTGGTTGTGAAGTTTCACCACTTGACTTGGCTTGGTTGGATTTGCGGTCCAGAAGGCCCTAGGAACCGAACCCGATGTAGATGAAATTATCCAATGGAAAAAGCCCGAAGTTATACCGAGTCAAGCCCAAGGAAAAGGGTCAAAGGTCATCAATATTAAACAGGACTTGAAAATGAATACACTTGTTGGGCTTATAAGATGCAAATCAATATGGGCTTCATCAGGTTTGTACACCGCTTGTAAAATATGTTTTACTGTTCATTGCATGGATGAATTATTATGACAAATGAGCCGGCTCCCTTTGATGATCTGTGTCCAAAGATCTGGATCCCAGAAAAGTGCCACTTCCCTTTTCATTGTTTGTTAGTTTTTCTGTCCACTTCTTGACACAACAGGTTTGGGTTTATTAATCCTCACACCTGCCTAGTGTTAGTTATTCTCTTCCTCTGTTCTTCCAAGGTTTTATTTGAGCCCTGCTGTGATCCTTTTCCTTCAGTGATGGTGTTGGCTTTCCTACTGTTTCAGCTTTAATTTGTGTCCAATCAAACAGAAGTTGTTTGACTTAGTGTTTACCTCAACTTTTAAGTTGGGATGATGTGCAGTACATGTGGTTTGTTTTGTCTGGAGCCAGCTGGATTATATCAAATCTTTAACCAACAATCTCTTTAATTTTAAGTAACATTAGCCCAACTGTACTGCCCCAAACAGATTAACGAGGCCAGTATTATAGCATTCCCATGGTATAAATCAACGTAAATCCCAATATTTTAAAAGTTGTATCTGCTTTTGCACTAACGCTGCTTTAAGACACAGACTTGATTAAAGTTACAGACACATACGGTCTGATTCAACAGTCGGCGCAGACATCAGCAGATTAGGTTCGTTGGTAAAATGGGTTGTGCAAAAAGGAGATAATTTAATCTGTTACCAGGGTGGTGGAAACTCAACCATGTGACAGCCACGTTTGTCAGCTGGTGGGCGATATTAAATTAGGCCCCAAACATTACCGTCATTGCACTTTTCTGAGCTTATTGTCAAACACAGTGGGGCTTGGTTGTGTAAAATATCCTGAAGCCTCAGCAGAAATGGCTGAAGCTGTATTGTTAGTGAATTGCTCTAATTTTGTACAACTCTTTACTGGTTTTCATGTCAGTTCATTCGACTGGGGTGCATTTAAAAAGGTAATTTGCAAATTAAATGTGAAAAAAAGAAAATGCTTTCCTGGGGAAAAGTGGAAAAGCATACGCTTATTTATTAATCGCATGCCAACAATGTGCAACAAGGCAGTAAATCCTTTCAAAGAGACAGTCTTTCATTATGTAATCTGAATTATAAACATTTGAGAAAACAACACCAACATGTAGCATATATGGGGGAATGGAGGAAGACGGGTGACACTTTTCTTTAATCTAATAAACTTTGATTATTTGCATTTGTTAAAACTGGGAGCAACAAGTCATGTTACTGACCAGTAACAAGTTAACACTTTATGGATATTCACCCAATAAAATTGACTCTTGAATTATCAGACTCAACAGCTGAAGCTGAATTTTCTAGTTACAGGACATTTTTTATCACAATGTCCCCTTATCCAATATCAAGTCAAGTCAAGGTTCTTTGTCATTCACATCACATGTGGTACCTGAGATGGAACAAACTGTGTACACAGGGTCCCAGTTACATCCAAACAATATAAAAAATATAAAGTGTAAAAAGAAACAGTAAATAAGGATCTAAGATATACACTAAACGACTGACCAATGGTACGCTAAAAGATCTAAGATATACGCTAGTCGTTAATAGTGCAAAACAATACACGATACATGATACACCGATATATCGATATATCGATATAACATATAATTAGGAAACGGAATTTTCCTTTTACATTTTATTACAAAATAATTAATCATCAACAAATATAAACAACATTGAACAACACAAATGATGAAGGATAATACTTTCGAAATTAACTAGTTTGAAAAAGTAGTAAAGTAATTAAACATTAATGAACAATCTAAACAATCAATTAAAGATTAATTCTCTTATCTAAGGCAAACAATTACTTGAGTAGGAATTATTTTTGGTTTTTAAACCCACGCAAATTTAGACAAAGTTTAACTATTTGATTATAATTAGTTTACTTTAGAATTTGGTCGAGAGATGTTATTTAATGTGACCAGATTAAGTAATTTATTATCACTGAAAGCCAGGAAATGATTTATCAAGTTGCATCAGCTAAAATGGCATAACCAGACCCAAAGTTGCATTCATGTCACCAGGTTTATGCTCCCTATCGGGTCAGTTTGATGGCTCGAATGCACTCATCTTTCCGTGGTTTTGCTGGTGGATCAGACCAGGGTACACCATGAGGAGAGGACTTGCCAGGCACCGCCCAAAAAGAAGCTGAAGGTAGCTGAAAATCACTGACAACTTCAAGGGTCGATGTCTCAGCTGATGAGAATGTGTGCGGGCGATCAGCCGGCTTATACTTTAAGCCAAAAACGCGAGTCTCGCAGTGAGAAAAATACTTTATCTTCGGTAATTTTATTTTTGATTGTATTTCTTAATGTATATTCAATTGTTTTGTTTTTACAAAATGAATAAACTAGAAATAAAATAAAATTAAAAAAAAGTGTCAGACAAATAA